AGGCCGGAGCTAGGAGCAAAAAGCTGGGGGCAAAAGAAAGAAGGGGGCTGAGGACGTGGACAGAAAACTGGGTGAGCAGACAGAGAGCAAAAAATCTGGCAGAAGAGAACTGGGTCCACCCAGAGGCAGAAAGTGAGTGGAACAGGCAAGAGCAGGAGACAGGAGCACAGATCTGAGGACCACAAAGGGCTGTGGAGCTTTTACCTGCAGATGGATCCCCACAGCCCTCACAGTGCCTCTCCCTGGAGCACATCCCAGCAGATCAATCCCCTGAGGAGCTAATTCTCAACAGAGGGAGGAAAGTGGAGGAAGATGGGGGAAAGGAGAAGCAGGGAGGAAGTGGCTTCCCCTTCATTGTGCCTAACCCTAAACTCCCTGCTGTTGGTCCTGGGTCTGGTGGGTCCTCCTCCTCACACCCAAGCACAAAGGAGAAAGAACATGTGGAGGAGGATGGTGTGTACAGAGTCCTTCTGCTAAGCACCAAGTGAGCTGGGCTCAGAAACCCTGTGCTCTAACTCCTTGGCTGGTTTCTCTAGGTGGGATTGTCAACCCTTGCCCCAAGGGCTGCAAAGCCTTTCCTGCTCTCAGAATTAGCTGTTAGCATTCTTTCCATTCCTGGAAAACACCTTTTCTCCCAGTGCTGGAGATGGAACATGGGGCCTTGTGGATTCTGGTTGGCTTCTCCCACTGGACTGTACCCACAACACTCCCAGCCCTGGCAAGTTTTGTAGGCCCTTTTGTAAAAGAGTGTTAATCCCTAAAGAAAATAACTATTGAAATAACCACGAGGCTGATTCTGGAAGAACTCCCAGTCCAGCATAGGGCTTTGACTTACCATCCAGCTGCAGAGAGAAGCAGTAATCTCTGAGTGTCAGAAATGGAGAATACTCTTTGGATCTCAGCCAGAAAAGATGGCACTCACAGAGCAGATGACAGACAGAGGCAACCTGAGAGGATGCCCAGTGAATCAAGACTAGAGAAACAGGGCAGGTCCTTTCAATGATGTCACTTAAATAAGAAAAACATGGCCATAGCTTGGAACCCAGTTAGGTAATCAAGAAATATCTTCCTATTCAAGGTAGTCTGTTGTCTATTTGGCTCGTTTTCCTCTTGGGTGTGAAAGTGTGAGAAAGAGTCCAAAGAAGAGGCTAGGGAGAGGGCTCTGCAGTTAAGAGTGCTTGCTGCTCCTAAGGAGGTCTGGAGTTCAATTCCAGTACCTACATGGCCAACTCACGGCCAATCTCTTTCAGGGGATCCAACACACCCTCCTGAGACAGTGCATACACATTATGCACAGGCACACATGCAGACAAAACACCCAAACATATAAAATAAAAAATTTCTTTAAAAAAAAATTACAAGTGACCTTTCTGACTCTTTCCGGGCATTCAAGATGTCGAAGCGAGGACGTGGTGGGTCCTCCGGAGTGAAATTCCGGATTTCCCTGGGTCTTCCGGTAGGAGCTGTGATCAAATGTGCTGACAATACAGGAGCCAAAAGTTTGTATATCATCTCTGTGAAGGGAATCAAGGGACGACTGGACAGACTTCCTGCTGCTGGTGTGGGCGACATGGTGATGGCCACGGTTAAGAAAGGCAAACCAGAACTAAGAAAAAAGGTCCATCCAGCGGTGGTAATTCGACAACGAACGTCGTATCAAAGAAAAGATGGGGTGTTCCTTTATTTTGAAGACAATGCAGGAGTCATAGTAAACAATAAAGGCGAGCTGAAAGGTTCTGTTATCACAGATCCAGTCACAAAGGAATGTGCAGAATTGTAGCCCAGGATTGCATCCAATGCAGACAGCATTGCATGATTCTCTGTTGTATTTGTAAAATATTCATTAAAAAGTCTTTGCTCCAAAAAAAAATTACAAGTGAGTCTTGATATGCCCACTGTGGCATGAGCCCATATGCATACACACGGGCTTACACACACACACACACACACACACACACACACACACACACACACACGATTAATGAATTTTCAATTAATTTTTAAAGTGTGGGAACCAGAAAGATGCATCAGAAATTAATAGCATAAACTTCTCTTCCAAAGGACCCATTAGAGTCCTGGCCCCCATGTCAGATGACTCACAACCACCTGTAATTCTAACTCTAGGGGATCCAACACCTTCTTCTGGCTTCTACAGACAACTCACTCACGCTGGAGAGATGGCTAGCAGTTAAGAGCACTGTGGCTACTCCCAATACCTGCACACAGACACCTAATTAAAAATAAAATAAAACCTTTAAAAAAAGACTTCTTTTACGTGATACTGTTCAGTTGTGCCTGTACAAAGCACATTTTGACAGTACAGGGGGATTGTGATATCATAATGCTCACTTGTGTCTCCCCAATGTTGCCTTGTGGCATCAGAGTGCTCCAATGTGTCATCACTACACTTCATGGTCTGGTCATAATGTGACTACACAATGCTCCCTGCGCCATCACAGTGCTCCAATGTATCATCAGTATGCTTCAAGGTCTGAAACTGAGAATTCTGGGAAGAAGGAGAGCAGAGTCAAGGAGTCACTATCCAGACACAGAGGAAGCAAGATGAGAATGCCACAGTGAGAAAAGGTACCAAGCCATATGAGTACACATAGATAAGAATTTCGGGTTAACTTAAGAGTAAGAGCTAGTTAGTAATAAGCCTACACTACCAGATGAGCATTTATAAGTATTATTAAGCTCTGAGTCATTTATTTAGGAAGCAGCTCCTGTGTATTTGGGAACAGGCAGGCAGGAGAGAAACTTCCACATACTTGACATTACACACAGAGAAAGAGAACTTAGAACACACAGCTCTAAATGTGATGTCTCCATCAAATGTCTCCCCTCAAGAGCTCAGGGAATTCCATGGAAGAGGAGCCAGCAGTCTCGGAGACAGAGGTGATGGAGGACATGAGGAGAATGTTAGAAGAGTTTGTCCTGGAGGGAAACATAATAGGCACTTCCCCAGAGACAGAAAAACTAGTGCATCTACAATTAATTAAT